TATAGGTAATACATATTTTAAGAAAAAGAGGATAAATAAGTATACAAGATATGATGTAGGGCGAAATGACAGTAGTTTGTTGGATTATGTATTGGTAGATAAAAGACTGTTGAGTAGACTTCAGGATGTACATGTTTATAGAGGGGCCACAGATATATCAGATCACTTTCTAGTTGTAGCTACACTGAGAGTAAAAGGTAGATGGGATACAAGGAGAATAGAAGCATCAGGGAAGAGAGAGGTGAAGGTTTATAAACTAAAAGAGGAGGCAGTTAGGGTAAGATATAAACAGCTATTGGAGGATAGATGGGCTAATGAGAGCATAGGCAATGGGGTCGAGGAGGTATGGGGTAGGTTTAAAAATGTAGTGTTAGAGTGTTCAGAAGAAGTTTGTGGTTACAGGAAAGTGGGTGCGGGAGGGAAGAGGAGCGATTGGTGGAATGATGATGTGAAGAGAGTAGTAAGGGAGAAAAAGTTAGCTTATGAGAAGTTTTTACAAAGTAGAAGTGATGCAAGGAGGGAAGAGTATATGGAGAAAAAGAGAGAGGTTAAGAGAGTGGTGAAGCAGTGTAAAAAGAGAGCAAATGAGAGAGTGGGTGAGATGTTATCAACAAATTTTGTTGAAAATAAGAAAAAGTTTTGGAGTGAGATTAACAAGTTAAGAAAGCCTAGAGAACAAATGGATTTGTCAGTTAAAAATAGGAGAGGAGAGTTATTAAATGGAGAGTTAGAGGTATTGGGAAGATGGAGGGAATATTTTGAGGAATTGTTAAATGTTGATGAAGATAGGGAAGCTGTGATTTCGTGTATAGGGCAAGGAGGAACAACATCTTGTAGGAGTGAGGAAGAGCCAGTTGTGAGTGTGGGGGAAGTTCGTGAGGCAGTAGGTAAAATGAAAGGGGGTAAGGCAGCCGGGATTGATGGGATAAAGATAGAAATGTTAAAAGCAGGTGGGGATGTAGTTTTGGAGTGGTTGGTGCAATTATTTAATAAATGTATGGAAGAGGGTAAGGTACCTAGGGATTGGCAGAGAGCATGCATAGTTCCTTTGTATAAAGGCAAAGGGGATAAAAGAGAGTGCAAAAATTATAGGGGGATAAGTCTGTTGAGTATACCTGGTAAAGTGTATGGTAGAGTTATTATTGAAAGAATTAAGAGTAAGACGGAGAATAGGATAGCAGATGAACAAGGAGGCTTTAGGAAAGGTAGGGGGTGTGTGGACCAGGTGTTTACAGTGAAATATATAAGTGAACAGTATTTAGATAAGGCTAAAGAGGTCTTAGTGGCATTTATGAATTTGGAAAAGGCGTATGACAGGGTGGATAGGGGGGCAATGTGGCAGATGTTGCAGGTGTATGGTGTAGGAGGTAGGTTACTGAAAGCAGTGAAGAGTTTTTACGAGGATAGTGAGGCTCAAGTTAGAGTATGTAGGAAAGAGGGAAATTATTTCCCAGTAAAAGTAGGCCTTAGACAAGGATGTGTGATGTCACCGTGGTTGTTTAATATATTTATAGATGGGGTTGTAAGAGAAGTAAATGCGAGGGTCTTGGCAAGAGGCGTGGAGTTAAAAGATAAAGAATCACACATAAAGTGGGAGTTGTCACAGTTGCTCTTTGCTGATGATACTGTGCTCTTGGGAGATTCTGAAGAGAAGTTGCAGAGATTGGTGGATGAATTTGGTAGGGTGTGCAAAATAAGAAAATTGAAAGTGAATACAGGAAAGAGTAAGGTTATGAGGATAACAAAAAGATTAGGTGATGAAAGATTGGATATCAGATTGGAGGGAGAGAGTATGGAGGAGGTGAATGTATTCAGATATCTGGGAGTGGACGTGTCAGCGGATGGGTCTATGAAAGATGAGGTGAATCATAGAATTGATGAGGGGAAAAGGGTGAGTGGTGCACTTAGGAGTCTGTGGAGACAAAGAACTTTGTCCTTGGAGGCAAAGAGAGGAATGTATGAGAGTATAGTTTTACCAACGCTCTTATATGGGTGTGAAGCATGGGTGATGAATGTTGCAGCGAGAAGAAGGCTGGAGGCAGTGGAGATGTCATGTCTGAGAGCAATGTGTGGTGCAGAGAATTCGTAGTTTGGAAGTTAGGAAGAGGTGCGGGATTACCAAAACTGTTGTCCAGAGGGCTGAGGAAGGGTTGTTGAGGTGGTTCGGACATGTGGAGAGAATGGAGCGAAACAGAATAACTTCAAGAGTGTATCAGTCTGTAGTGGAAGGAAGGCGGGGTAGGGGGCGGCCTAGGAAAGGTTGGAGGGAGGGGGTAAAGGAGGTTTTGTGTGCGAGGGGCTTGGACTTCCAGCAGGCATACGTGAGCGTGTTTGATAGGAGTGAATGGAGACAAATAGTTTTTAATACTTGACGTGCTGTTGGAGTGTGAGCAAAGTAACATTTATGAAGGGGTTCAGGGAAACCGGCAGGCCGGACTTGAGTCCTGGAGATGGGAAGTACAGTGCCTGCACTCTGAAGGAGGGGTGTTAATGTTGCAGTTTAAAAACTGTAGTTTAAAGCACCCTTCTGGCAAGACAGTGATGGAGTGAATGATGGTGAAAGTTTTTCTTTTTCGGGCCACCCTGCCTTGGTGGGAAGCGGCCGGTGTGATAATATATATATATATATATATATATATATATATATATATATATATATATATATATATATATATATATATATATATATATATTTATATATATATACTTTATTCAAATGATCTACAACAAAATATGAATTATTTAGGTGATAAGAAGGAACATTATTGTAGGTAAGTCACGGAGTTCATGGTATCAGATAAACATTTATTTTATGTGCATAATTAATAAGAAAGTTATCTGGGCCTTTCACTCTTACAGTAGTGAAATATGTTGTGAACAATGATTCATAGTGTTCCTTCTGACTTCGGCGAGTTTAATTATCGACATCAGTGTATAAGTCTTTTTGAGCAGAGGGCGTATAGTGTAAAAAGATTCTTCCATGAATTTTGCTTATATAAATAAAGTGGTTTAGTGATCATGTCAATTAAATGAATGGCTGTTTGATTCTTTTGTGCTCCTTCTGGCTGGTATAAATGCTGTGGTATATGTTCTCTATCGCTAATTTCTCAGTGTTGATTATATTTAATTTATTGTTTTGCCTGAGCATTTCTTTAGCAGTACAGAAATCTTTTTCCTTCTCCAGAGTCATCTGTTTTGTAGCTCAGTGGCTGATCTTTCAGGTTTTCTCAGTCTAACACATTTTATACAGACTTTCAACACTGTACATTCACGTTTTCTAATCAGTCGTTTGGATTTAGTGCTCAGAAAAGTCACAGTTAATTTTCTTATTATTGTAAATGAATTTATTAAATAACTTGTTCTCCACAAATATAGCTGCGCTTCTTCGTACTTCAATAATATTGTAACTAGAGTCTACTGTGTATGAGGTTGTAATATTTCTAATAAGTTACTTATTGTCTGAAAAGATTATAATTATTTTTTTTATTTCTAGTAAATTCTTTTATCTGTTTTGTGGACTTCCTCGGTACTATTTCCAGTACAATGTGACTGTCTTTCGTGGCCTATTTAGCATAAAGTAGTTAAAATTCCTATGGAAAAAGATATTAAATGTCGCATTTTCGAGATTTTCTATTTAGCTATTAAACTTTCTGATTTCTTCGGTTAATTATTATGCTGTTACCGATGGTAGTCTCTATAGGAAAATAATTATCAGTTTTTTATTCTCAGTTTTCTTGCGAAGAATGTAGACGATACATTTAGATACTTTACGCGAATCGAAATTAAGTGAATCATTTACTTATATATCTCCTCTTCGGAACTTTTTTATTCTTTCACATCTAATCAATTTACTGCATTTTGCGGCATATAAGGCGCACGTTTTTTTCCCATAAAAAGTCTTGGAAAATCATTCTGCGTCTTATATGCTTAAGGGTAGGCTTTGAGTTATGCTTTACTGTAAAGTAATAGGGTAATTAGCCCTTAAATATAATTACTGATTTACCGTTATGATACTTCTGTCGTGCGCCTTACATCCCGGGAAATGCGGTATATTATTTGGGATCCATATTTCAGTCTCCAAGATATTCTTAGTGTTAGTTTCTGTGATGGCTCCAAACATATCAATTGTTTCTTTGAGGATACCATTTATCTTGCATATTTGTGGAGATAAAGAAGGTTAACCTACGCAGAGAGTAGACATGTGAACCTAGAGAGTGCATGTGAACCCTAGAAGCAGTAAAGCACAGCTATCCCTACTATGTCGTGTCGTTATAAGATTCCTCCAATTACGCATATTTCTTCTCTCTAGGGAAGTTTGCATGGATGAAGATGGAGGTGTTGATGGAACATTCTGACACTAACAAGTGTGATCACAGTGGTATCCCATGCTAACGTTCCTCCGAGAAGAATATTCCAAGATGGAGGAATCCTCTTAGACCAGCATGATACAGTGAGAACATGGGTTAAACCCTATCTGCATCCAGAATTGTTTATAATCTTGTTAATATAATTATACAAATCAAGGAAAGTCTTTTGCGTTATTTTGCAATAATTTTTGTAGGGTAATTTATTACCGGTATTTTTTTTCTTGGAGGGGGGGGGGAGACTATTCAAGTAGTGCACACAGTCATGTTAGTGGGCCTGGTATTCTTATTCTAGTCAGTATATCTGCTTGCAGGTGCTGTTGCTCCTCCCCTGTGTATGTTGCCCACTACTGTGTAGACCATTTTACTTGCTTTCCCACAGCTTCAGCTTAAAGGACTTTATCGAAATATTTTTGAGTCTTTTGTCTGTGACATTTTAATGGGATTTTTACTGAATTTGTATATATTATCTAATTGTGATTTTATTTTTATTTTGTCGATCTAATAAATCTTATTGCCATCAGCAAGCACAAAATTTTACAGATTCCTACAACCGCTGTTGTTACTGCCACTGATATCACTATAAGCAGCACAAATTACCCATTACACTCGCTTCCATAGATTCTCGAGACTTACCATGTAACCATCGTAGGTCCAGGAACCAAACTTCATGAAACACGTTTGCTGGTCGAAGGGAAAAAACTCAACATCGATCTCACACGAAGACTTGTAGATGGCTGGCGGTTTCCAAGTGACTCTGCCGTCATAATGAAGCACAGCTTTTGTCATGATGGTTACCTCGTAGTTCCCATCAGCACTGTACGAAGAGAAGGTCGCATGTCAGTAGAGAGCAGAAATTCAACACAGAGATTCATGGTGTATTCATGAAAAGCTTTAGAAAGTACCAGACATGAAGAAGATATTAAACAAACAATAGCTTCTTTTTTGAGGAAAATAAAAATGTAAGAACAATATTTAAATTTAAAAAAAAAATTAGCAAAATTTTTTGTGTCGAGAAAGTTTAATAATACTTTAAGCAATAAGAGAAAATCGTCACCAATAATTACCATTAAAAAATGCTAAATTATTCTGCGAGTGAAAATATTTTAGAAAATGATGTATAAAATAGTAAGGCAAAAATCTAATCAAAAGTATAAGGTAGTAAGACATTTTGTAAATAAAACATTGCATCAGTATATTACAGCGATGTCAATGTAGCAAAGATTTATGAGAATGATTATCAAGAAAATTTATTTTACGGATAGAACAATACAACAAAAATGTTTTGGTTCTCACAGTGAAGAACAACATATCAGATTGATGATATATCATCAGTTTGACGTGAGTGTGTCTCTCATGTGAGTTTGGTGGAAGCTGAACACCAAGAGTAAGAGACGAAACATTGAACGAAAACTGAACTACTTTGTGTCACCAAGCTGTATAGCCCTTGTGGTTTAGCGCTTCTTTTTTATTATAATAATAATTTGTGCCACCAAGCAATTAACACGCAATATATCTGCGCAAAATACTCTTATCTTTTGACAGTCATCCTCACCTCATAAATGAATATGGATACGTTACCAGAAAGCTGAATTAAATTTCACTATTTAATATTATAAAATCACTATTTGGCATCACTAATAAAAAAATATTCTTTCTTTCTTATATTTGTGTCCCGACTTAAACACCTATTTTTTATTATTCTATTAAAATTATTTGGTTAAGCTAAGTTATGCTACTAATCATAAAATTATTATATGTTGTCACGAAACTCCAACATAGAATATTCTATATATTATGTTCCGTCTTTTAAATTCAAAATTTACATTCTAACTTGTTGTGATGAAGTCCTCAGCTAGCTAAGCTTATTAATAATATAACTACTGTAAAACACTATATTGCAACACCAGGACTCAAACACATATTAATTGAATTATTTCTCTCAATGCTTTGACATTCTGTTCTATTCTATTCTAGGTGATTTGCCGGTATGGATCCCGGCCCGGGTCTCTTCCAATTTGGTGACCAGGTATTGGCTTCCCGGGTAGAGGGTAGGGAAGTGTCTTCTTTTCTCTTACTTGCGTGGCAATCCTTCGGTGGGAAGAGGGGTTCCTCTCCGGTTCTATGGACAAATGATATCCCAAAAGTTAGTTTTCCCCAATGGTGGTTGGTGTGGGGTGCAACGGAGGCTCTCAGCAGGCCTTCACAGTGACTTCAGCGAGGAGAGGGGGGACGTGGAATGACTGAGAGTAGAGTCTCCAAGTCTCTGATGGCCAGGTACACTAGATGTGCCACCTTATCCTCCCCGGCCTGTCCCACTCAGGTCTGCGGCGAAGGGGCAGTCTAACATGTTGTGAACCAGGGGTTTCGGAACCATCCGATCACAGTGGGCACAGAGCTCCTCTCTTGCCCGTTTAACGATCCATGCAGTGGTGGGATACCCTAAGCGTAGGCGGTGGATATGCACTCACAGTTCCCTGGTCTGCGTCCGAATACTTGGAGGGTGTGCCCTGTGACTCGCCCTGTCATACCAGCAGCGGCTCCGTGAATCCCAGGGTTAGGCTGTGCCTCGAGCGTTGCTGTCTCAGCAGCCTCATCTGCTGCATCATTGCAGGGGATACCCACATGGCTCGGGATCCAGTTGATGGTGGCTCTGCCTCCCTGGGCCATAAGCGTTTGCAGGTCCCTCCAGATGGATGTGATTAAGTGTAGATTGTCCCCTGGCTCCCTGTGCATAATTACCTGGATCGCTGACTTGGAATCAACATGGATGAGGGGGTGATGCTGATGATCTGCATTTGCATGCTGCAGAGCTTGTTGGATGGCATAGAGTTCAGCCTGGAGGACGGTGCAATGGTCCGGGAGGCGCCAACCTGCTATCAGATTGCTGTGGAACATCCCAGCAGCTGTGTGGCCTACCTCTGGGTCTCTGGAGCCATCAGTGTAATACGGCACACACCCAGGGCTTTCCACACTCGCAATGCTAGCCGAAACAAGTCGTTGCAGAATGTGCTGGGGGCAATGCCTCTTACTGCCTGGTAGGGCTGACCAGTGCACCGCCATCAGCTCTGGCGCCCAAGGGGGTGGTATTGTTTAGTTCGGTGTTTGTTTGTCGCAGCCTCATGCCTCGAGCAATGGCATGGGCAGGGGCTTCTGTGTGGCATCTGCAACTGACCACATCCAACGGCGGCCGGGGTGCATTATGTCATGTCCCTGGCGGACCCTTATATCCCTCATCAGTTTGACAGTCCCTGGGAGTCGGAGGCACTCTTGGCAGCTACACGTTGGATCCTCTCCTCAAGGGGCTGCAGTTTCGCCTCGAAGTTCAGAGTCACTGCATTAGCCCACTTAGGCGCCCCCAGCATAGCCAGTACAGCTGTGTTCTGGACCACACAGAAGAGACTTTATGTTTGTGGGCCTGGTGTGAATCAGAGCAAGTGCTCCGTAGTCGATGAGCGAGCAATACGCCTGTATATGGAACAATCTCATGACCTCAAGGCTGGGCCTGACTCTAGGGTTGGCCATGACACTCATTGCCCTGACCCTCTGCAGAGCCGTTTCTTTGATGTGGTGTACATGTTCCTGGAAGGTGAGGCGCCTGTTGATGTAGATGCCAAGGTACCTATAGCTGTGAACCCATTTCAGGTCGGTGCCCAAGATCCACAGCCTCTGATTGGGTTCCCTGGTGTGAAGGATCATAGCTTTGGATTTCGCTGCAGATATCTTGAGCCCCAGGTGACGGCAAATGGAAGCCAGCAGATCGAGGTCCTCCTGGGCGCTGCAACAGCCGGCGCTTCCTGGATACGACAAGTGCCAGGGCATAGGCGTAGCTGAGCAGGAAGATGCCTGTGGAGAAAGGCAGGCGCACGAGCTGGTGCACCAGTACATTGAACAGAGCGGGACTAAGTACCCCGCCCCGCAGAGTGCCGTTTTCCAGGGTGCATTTCCAGGCATGCCCCTGGAAATGCACCCTGGCTCGCCTATCCTAGAGATAGGATCGAAGCCATGCAGGCAACCTGCTCTTAACTCCCCTGCGGGCCAAGAGTGCAAGGATGGCAGGTGCACTGGCTAACTCGAAAGCTTTCTTGAGGTCGAGGAAGACAAAAATGTGGGCTTGGGTATCCGACCCACTGCTGGCCAGTAGGGTGGTAAGGCTTTCAAATGTGCCCACTCCTCTGGTGAATCCATAGAGGTGTTTATGAGGAAGGCCAAGCTTCCACCTCAGTCGCTCCAACACCTTCCTCTCAGACACCTTGGAGATGCAACTGGTGAGGGAGATGGGTCTCACACTGCCAGGATCCCCGGGCTTAGGAAATGGTACGATGTCGGCCTCCTTCCATACGGCCAGGAGTCTGCCGGCTCTCCATGTCCGGTTGACGACTCCCAGGATAGCTTCATGACCAGTATGGCCAGACCGAGTGATCATGCCATAGGTGACACCATCATGCCCTGGCGCAGTGTTCCGATTAGATGTGAAGGCTGCCTGGAGCTCCCGGTCAGTGAAGTCTTCATCGGTGTCGCCCTTTGCCCGGCATGCCGCTTGGATCGCCACCATTCTTCTAGGAAGGAGGGTGGCCTGGAGGTCCTGGAGATCCTGAGGCAGGTGAGACATAGCCGGTCTGGAGGTGAAAAATTCCACCAGACGCTCTGCCTCCGTTGCAAAAGAGAAATAACAAATGCACAATCTAGAAACTAAAAGCAGGAAGGCAAGACAGTGCAGACGTCATATACGTTAAACATCCCTTCCCATCAGAAGGTAATAAATTGTTTCAACAGGACATACAGAATATACACTTGCTGACACACACAAAGGTAAACATAAAATAAAAAATGTTATTTCTGCTAACGTAATTATCAATCGGATATTTACCTTTTTTTTTTTTACATAATCTCAAAATGCTAACTATTAAATCATTAACGAAAGAATTTTTTTGAATTAATAGTCTCGTAAAGCATAAGTCACCGAAAAAATAAAGAAGCCAAAATTTTATAGCAAAACAATTTAAACTGACTGTCCAACTAATATTTCGAAGAACTTTAGTTATGGTTCACCAATTTTGAAACTCTGAAGCCGACAGTTTTCACAAGTAATAAGCAACATCCTCGGAGGCAGCACAAACACTGTACTCGAGCACATGTACTACAATGCAGTAAATGAAACAAAAAAACAATAATCCTCATTGAGGAGAAAGAGATTTATGAAGACGTTTCCGTCCTACTTAGACCATTACCGTCAAGTGCGTAGGTTTGCCAGGACGGGTCCTGGCCCGGATCTTCTCCATGTGGTGACCCGGCAGTGACTCCCAAGGAATGTTAGAGTTGGTACAAGTGATGTACCGCTTGCAACCCTATGTCAGGGGCACGGTGAGCATTTGTGTCAAATGAAGTGCCATTTACAGCTTTATGGCAGGGGTAGCCCTATGACAAGCAATTTTGAGCCAAGTAGCTTTGAGTCACTTTGAGCCAATAGATGTGGTTTCTGGTTGTTGACTTCAGCCGGTTCTCACTCGGAATATGAGTCAATGATTCCTTCTTCATCATCCAAGGGAAATATATCTTTACAAGATTGTCGTACTAGAAAAACGAGAATCTCTGATTTCAGAAAAAAGTTCGGGGATAAGTTTTTTTTGATTTTTTTTTTTTTAGAAAATCCTGACACTTGTGAACAGACAAAAAAATCCATTTCTAAGTTTTTGGTTCCCTCCATTCCACTGGAGCGTTTTGGGGTATGCATGACAGGGAAATTACATACGTTGAGGGTCCCCAACTTTCCTGATCACCGACCAAACACCAAAATAGTGAAAATAAACTGTTTTC